TTTTTACGTGTTTTTGTAAGGAGACAGGCTTGGCTATTGCAAGCTGGTCTTGAACTCGCTGGCGCCTCCAGAGGATCCTCCTGCCCTCGGCCTCAAAAGCTTGCTAGGATTATAGCACTTATAGCATGAGCCACCAGGCCCAGCCTCTTTGGTTTTCTACAACAAAATTCCTTCAGTATAATTTCCAACAGACTCACCTGGACTACAGTGGAAAATAAAATTCGGTATTTCTTAATTTTAAAGACAGGCTCTATTCCTACTTAGCATCACCCAGGCCTGCCTCCACAGACCTAGGTGCAGGAAAGGATTTGGAGATGTGCCAACTGTCACCAGCCCCTGACTCTTAACCTATAAAGTAGGATGCTACAGCCTCTGCTTCTGGGTTCCAAAATTGGGCACAGAACTATGCACATCAAATCTAAATCCAGTGAACCATAAAAGAGATTTACCAAATACTCCGTTGTTTCCTATTTCTTCCTTGAATTTGGCTGCCTGCCTCTTTCATTGTGCCTAGTTATTTATCTCTCTGGCTCTTCCTTCCTCATACTCCTCCCCAGCTATTGTTTGGGAATCCCTCTACTTCTCTTATTGGAAACGGCATTTAAGCCTGCATTGAGCAGGAGCACAAATTATGCAGATTGCACCTCTATATGTATCCCTTCCAAAGAGACCTTTGCTTTTTAATTGACCTGCTAGACTTGAGACCAAATGTCTCCAGACCTGGAGCTATTGTACCTGCTGTTCCACTGTCATGCCAAATATTCTGCGGGAGTGTAACCAAATGGGCTGATGACAGCCCTCCACCCAGGGGGGTCACACAGTATGAAGAAAATGTAGCAAAATTAGTAAAAGCAAATAAAAATTGGTCTGCTTTGTATTATCATCAGTTTTAACCTCAGCTTTTAATAAGAATAACAAGACAGAGAAACTCTACACAATGACAGTGTCAGGGTGGGGGTGGGGTGGAGACTGGCATCTGCAGCCCCCACCTTTAGTGAGCCATCCTGATGGGTCCTAACATTGTCTAAAGATCCTTAGGAAAGAAAAGTACTTTCCTGAATGATTTCTAAAAGCTCATTTCCTGTTTCTAGCCATGGCACCAACCTTTCTGACCCCTCATTGACCTATTTGGTGGTCTCCATGCCTGTGGTTCTGGGACTCTTTACTCTCTGTCTAGACACACTTTTCTCTGTCCTGTTATTCTTATTGAAAGCTGAGGCTCCAACTGGCTCAATTCTTAGGTGAACTGGGCTTCTTGCTCTTGGTTCCAAATGAGTTTGGGTCTTAGTTCTACCATCAGCCAGCAGCTTCAAAAGTGAGTTTTGTGTAAATGAAGCCTGCTCATGTCTGCCAGCCCTGCCCAGCATCCCAAATGCACCTCTGCCTCTGATTCTTTACAGTGTTACTCTATTTTTACCCCAGTTTTTTGGGGTACACTTGACAAATAAAATTTGTATATATTTAAGGTGTACAACGTGATGTCTTGATATATGTACAGTGAAATGATTACAGCAATCAAGCTAATTAACATATCCATCACCTCACATAGTTAATGATTTGTGTGTGTGTGTGGTGAGAACACCTAAGATCTACTCTCTTAGCAAATTTCAAGTATATAAAACAACATCATTAAATATAGTCACTGTGCTGTACATTAGACTCCCAGAACTTACTCATCCACATAAATGAACTTTTGTACACTTTGACCAACATCTCCTCATTTCCTCCCATACCCAACCCTTGGCAACTATCATATACTCTCTGTTGCTAGGAGTTTGATTTCTTTAGATTAATTCAGTATTTGTCTCTCTGTTGTCTGGTTTATCTCTCTTAGCATAATGTCTTCCAGGTTCATCCATGCTGTAATGGCAGCCTTATTCTTTTTTAAATTTTCAATTAAAGTCCTATTTTGTCTCTCCTTCCTCCATGGAAATCATCTTTTATTATTTAAAAATAACTTAAATCAGAGTTTCTCAAACCTTAGTCATTCACATAAGACCTTCAAAAATTTTCCTGTATCTAATTTCCACTTAAATAATTGTTCATTTAATATCTATCAAAATCATGGCTTACTCTATCAGTAATGCATATACCATACTTTAGGAAACCTGATTTTAAACACATAGTATTAATAATAGATAGCTTTCCATAAAGGAAAAGGAAGGCTGTTCTTTTACAGTACGATATTATTTTGTACATAAATCATTTTTCTAGAAGAAAAATATGGTCATATAAATGTATTAATTTTGTTATTAATATATACTTGCTACTGTTATTCATTAATGCCTTTGTGAAAAGTGATAGTGAAGTTGATGTATTAAGGAATATATTATTAAAAATAGGATACTATATCAGTAACTAGTCTTGACACAGAGCTCTTCTAATTTTTCTACGTTTCTTCAATGCAAATTCAGGGAACACACAGCTTTGAGGCACATAATTATCTGATTAAATTATTAACCAAATTCTCTGCGTGTTTTAGGGATTTTATTAACAGATATTTTTACTTTGCTCATATGATTTTGCATAAACCATCAATGATCTAATGACAAAGTTGAATAATTTGTACAAGGATTATTGAGAATTACATTGAGAATGACTTTATACAGAATCTTCCATTTTGTGGAGTATCATTTACAAGCTTATTCATGTTTTAGACTTTCAAAGTGGCTTTTCCATGAGCTCTAAAAGTTAGAAATGAACTTCTGTCATCTGTTTTTATCTTTTTTTATATATAACCTTTGAATCACAGGAATGATTGTGGGAAGGTATCAGAAAGCAGTAGCTTTCAACAGTAAACTATGCAAACAGTAGGAAATTGAGTTTCTCAGATGTTTAGTAACCTGAGCAATGATCAAACACTGAAATATCCCATTCTAGTTGTTTTGCTCTTCAGAATCGAAATAATGTCTTTCAAAGCCCCTAAAGAGTTGAACAGCTTTTCAGACAAAACAAGTAGGTTCCCCAAACTGTGTTAGGTTTCTCATCACTCTTACAAGAAAAGGTAATACAGACTCAGAATTAAAACCAAAAGGGAAACAAACAATGTCTTCCATATCTTTTCATCCCCATGGGAGATAATACTCAGGAACTCCTGTGTTATCATGGGTTTCTCAAGCTACCTCCTCTCAACTTTGAGAAAGCAAAGTCACCACACTATTACTGTTTAATTGTGCCACTATTACTTGAATATAGTCAACGTTAGACTTAAAATCTGCAATACTTCTTGGGAGGAAGAATAATACTTTTACTAGGAATCTAGTCCTAATCTGCTTGTAACAAAGTGAGGGATATTTGTGTTTAATGAATATAACTGTTATTGGTTATTACTAAATCAAAATGCTTAAAAAATAAAGTGATGTTGTAAGACGACATAACTAAAAGTCAGAGATTTAGTATGCATTTGAATAAGTTTAACAACAGTAAAAAATATAGCATATGAGCATAAGACATTCTAAGACATAGTGTAGTTTCATTAACTGAATTTTAAAATGCTTGATTAATTGATGTAATATATTCCAATTTTTAATCCTGATAAAAATTTTAGATCTGTGGTGGACTAGACAATGACTCTAATAGAAAGAGCTAGAATAGAAATTGCTGTATTGCTAAGGAGTTCCAGATTTCTGAGGATTTTAAGGCTGTGTTGTAAAGGGATGGGTGGCCTAGAAAGTGAGTTCTAGGTAAGTGGCAGGCATTCTGATGCAATGTTGCACCCAAATATCAGGGTCAGAAGTAAAATTTTACCTTTTATTAATCATATATTAATTTAAAATATTTATTTTTATGTAGGCAATATGTATAATATAAGAAATCATAACAAAAATAGGCAGAAATGACATGAGGCTGAATAGCTATAAAAATAACTTAGATATCTTGGAAACAAAAACAATAGAATTATAGATATGGAAACTTTAAGATATGGAAACCTTATAGATATGGAAACCTTAGTTGGGAAAGATTCTAAGATGGAAAGATTTCAATAAATTAGAAGATTGCATTGAGGAATTCATAACATTGAATATAGAGACAAACAGATATAAAAAACATAAAGGAGATGGATTCAAAATTAAGAAGCTTTAAAATGTTTGTGATGAGTGGTATGGAAAAAGAGAAAGAAGTAGCAAAGAAACATATGAAAAGATGACTGAGAATGTTCATAAACTGAGGAAAAACATGAATTAGGCTAAAAGTATTCTTTGATTATCAAAGAAGTACAAATAAAAATATATCTACTCTTAGGCATTTTATAATGTAACTGCAGAGCATCAAGGTTGAAAAGAAAATCTTAAAATCTATCAGAGAGAAAAGACAGATTACTTAAAAAGGAACTAATTAGGCTTACAGAAGACTTCGGAACACTGCAACAGGTGCCAGCAGACAATTATATAATAATAAAAGAAAAAAGCACCCCCAAAATGTATAATAGTATTACATTATTATGTTTCTAAAGCTTAACTTTCAAATTCTAAGCATTATTTCATTTCATCTATGAATATTTCAGTATCTATCTCTAAAACTTAAGGACTCATTCATCTAGGGGACTTTTAATATCTGAACTAGTAGAAGAGATGTCTTCAACTTTTCCATGTGGCTTCAAGACAAAGGAAATACTCTGCAAGCAGAAGGCAATGTCTTTGTGTGCTGCAATGGATGCCCAGCATGCTCCTTCTTCTTCTTTAGTAGTTTAAGTTCACTTGCCTATTTTGAGGTTACACAAAGTTTAGTGTCCCCTAACAACTTTTTCTAGCCTCACCTTCTCTTTCTCTTGCCTCTTCGTGACCTATTTTTCCACTTCAGTAAGTAGTCGTTACTAAAAACTCATGAAGATCTTGGGATATATTAATAGAAAAGAGTGTTGACCAGCTGTGGTGGCTCACATCAGTAATCCTAGCACTCTGGGAGGCTGGGCCAGGAGGATTGGTTGAGCTCAGGTGTTCAAGACCAGCCTGAGCAAGAGCAAGAACCCATCTCTACCATCAAAGCCATCAAGAGGACGTGTTGGAGCCGGAAGCGCCCGCCGGGGCTGGAGGTCTCTGAGGATGGAAGGCGAGATGGAGGCGCAGAGCGCCGGGGCCGAGGAGGGCTTCACCCAGGTCATCCGCAAGGGTGGCCGGCGGGCTAAGAAACGACAGGCTGATCAGCTGTCTGCAGCAGGGGAGGGCGTGGACGCGGGCCGCTTGGACACAGAGGAGGCCCGGCCGGCGAAGAGGCCCGTCTTCCCGCCTCTGTCCGGGGACGGGCTCCTGAGTGGGAAAGAAGAAACAAGGAAAATTCCAGTCCCAGCGAACAGATACACACCATTAAAAGAAAACTGGATGAAGATATTTACTCCTATAGTAGAACATTTGGGACTTCAGATACGCTTTAACTTGAAATCAAGGAATGTAGAAATCAGGACTTGTAAAGAAATCAAGGATGTTAGTGCTCTGACAAAAGCAGCTGATTTTGTGAAAGCCTTTATTCTTGGGTTTCAGGTGGAGGATGCCCTTGCCCTCATCAGGTTGGATGATCTCTTCCTAGAGTCTTTTGAAATTACAGATGTTAAGCCTCTAAAGGGAGACCATCTGTCGAGAGCAATAGGAAGAATTGCTGGTAAAGGAGGAAAAACTAAATTTACCATAGAGAATGTAACTCGGACTCGGATAGTTTTGGCTGATGTGAAAGTTCACATCCTTGGCTCTTTCCAAAACATCAAAATGGCAAGAACTGCCATTTGCAACCTCATCCTGGGAAATCCTCCATCAAAGGTTTATGGCAATATTCGGGCTGTGGCTAGCAGATCAGCAGACCGATTCTGATTTCAAATCAGAGACTTTTTGTCTTTGGACTCTAAGAAAAGACTTTACACTCTACAGCCGGTCACAAGAAACCATGTGAAGAATTTCAGTCACTTCGAGCCTTGGTCACTTCTTCCATTCTCTTCCAGAGCATAAACAGAAAGGAAAGGTTTTGTAGTATTCACATTCAGCATCTTTTAAGAGTATTTAAATATCAAAATCTAATATCATTATTATACTTACACATTAGGTATAATTTATATTTTTTTTCATTTATATTGTATGTAGCAGATCTACATAGTTTGTAATCCTCTCATTTGGAGGTAAACTAGCTGAAACAGTTCTGTATGAATTTATAAGTTTTTATTTATGAATTTATAAAATGTTATAAATTTTATAAATTTATAAATATTTCTTCTTTATATATTATAATTAAAAGGATCATCTCAGAAAACCTCTCTATGAAACTTGTCCCTTTTTAAATACTGTGTGGTGTGTGAGCATTTTAGTATGAGATCATAAATAGCAGTTTTAGCTGTACTGTATGAATTAATAAGGGCTAACCTTTATACCTGTTTTGCAGTTTTTAAAATTAAAGACCTACATCACAAGGTTGACATAAGGAGTTTTATTTTTCAAATAAGCGTTTAGTGAAAGTAGTCAGACCTTGCCAATATTGGGTATACAGATGCTCCTCAACTTACGATACATTTATGTCTGACTAAACCCACTGTAAGTTGAAATAGCAAATATCAAAAATGTATTTAATACACCTAACCTACTGAACCTTAAACATGCTCAAAACACTTAGCTTGCAGTTGGACAAAATTATCTAACATAAAGCCAATATAATGTTGAGTATCTCATATAATTTGTTGAATACTGTACTGAAAGTGTAAAACAATGGTTGTATGGGTACTCAAAGTACAGCTTCTACTGAATGCTTAATACTTTCATGCCATTGTAAGTCGAACAATCATAAGTAGAACCATCATAAGTCTATTTCTTCTGTAGTAAAGATGAAATGGTAAAAGAATGTCCCTTCCCAATAAAAATTGTGCAATAGATTTTTAACTAGGGTCTGCCTATTTAAATATTATCTGATTATTTTATGCATTTTTAAATGGAACTTTATAAAGTATAATTTTGATACTATAAAAAAAAAAGCCATCAAGAGAAAGAGTCTGCAAATGAGATAGAAGGCACTATTTTCTGTAACTTAATCATGGAAGAGACATTGCATTGCCTTTGCCATATCCTCTTGATTAGACACAAGTCACTAGTCCGGTCCAACCTCAAAAGAAGGAGATCACACAAAAGTGTGTGTACCAGTATTCTGGATTAAATCCTGGGTCAGAAAAAAATGTGGGTGGTTTTTCTGCATGGTAGTTTACTATAAAGCCACAGTCTCCAACCCCCAGGCCTCATTAGTGTTAGCAACTGGGCCACACTGCAGGAAGTGAACAGCAGGCCCAGTGAGCAAAGCTTCATCTGTATTTACAGCTGCTCCCCATAGCTCGCATCACCACCTAAGCTCCATCTCTTGTCAGATTACAGGTGATATTAGATTCTGCATTATGGTGAGTTGTATAATTATTTCATTATATATTATGTAATAATAATAAAATAAAGTGCACAATAAATGTAATGCATTTGAATCATACCAAAACCATCCCCAGCCCCAGTCTGTGGAAAAATTGTCTTCCATGAAATCAGTACCTGGTGCCAAAAAGGTTGGGAACCGCTGCTATAAAGGATATTATTAATATTATGAAAATTGATGAAATTACATAAAGTTTTAGATTAAATAATAGTATTATGTCACTGTTAATTGTTTTTGATAGTTATACTGATTGTCATAATAGTACTGTGATTAGGCAAGAAAATATCCTTGCTAAGAAGACACTGAAGTATTTAAGAGTAAACTAGCATCATAGAGAGTGAATGATAAGGCAAATGTGGTAAAATGTTAATAATTAGAGACATGTGTGAGTTTTTGTACCATTCTTGCAACTTTGCCAGAAGTTTGAAATTATTTCCAATTTTAAAAATATGTATCTAAAGACTTTGTGTATATTTAATCAATTTTCATAATATTCTTTATAGCAAAAAAAATAGTCGTGTATTATACACAAAGGAAAGAATAGGAAGTGAGAAGATGGAGTCGTTAAGTATAGATAACTCTTTCTGGAATTTTGCTGTAAAATGAAGCAGAGATATGAACTAGCAGCTGGAGGTGTTGGAATTAAGAAGGTTTGCTATGATTGCCATTGCTTGAATATAAGTGATATTAAAGCAAGTATATAATGGGGAATAGGAAAAATCCAATTGAAAAGGGACAATGGATGGGTCATGAGAAAGAAATAGTAATTTCAGAGGCAAAACCCTTCCACAGCCAAGTAGAGATGAGTTCAGTGCATATGTGAGGGCTTGGCCTTGGATTGCAGCATGAACAATTCATCCACTGCAGACGAAAGGACAGCAGAGGACACTGGGCATGAATGTAAGCATGTGTAGTCGATTTGATGTTAGAGAGATGAGAAGTGCTTCCCTAACAGCTCCTATTTTCTCACTACAATTAGAAGCAAAGTCACCAGCTAAAATTGAAGAGGGGGAGGAATGTTGAAAATTTAAGGTCACTTCAAAGAAAAAAGCAGAACTGTAAGAAAGAAAAGGTCAGAGGAAGAAAGCAATAATAAAGTCAACAAAGACATTTATTAATATAAATGAATGAAGCTACCTTACTTTTAAGAGGAAAAAACACTATACAATCATACATTTGCTTAAGGATGGGGATACATTCTGAGAAATGCATCATTAGGCAATTTTGTGGTTGTGGAACATCACAGAGTGTACTTAACACAAACCTAGATGGTACAGCCTGCCATACACCTCGCCTATATTGTATAGCCTATTGCTCCCAGGCTACAAACCTGTGCTGAATACCATAGGCAATTATAACACAGTGGTAAGTATTTATGTATCTAAACATAGAAAACATCCAGTAAAAATACGGTTTTATAATCTTATGGGGCCACCATCATATATGTGGTCTGTTGTTGACCAAACATCACTATGCAGCAGTTGACTGGTATTTCTTTTTGATTATCAAAAGCCCGTAAGGGGGTAAAGGGCCCATAAGGACAAAGCTCTCTACAAATTTGCAGTTTGGGGAGTACATATGTGTAAGAATAGAAGGGTGATTCCCTCACTCACATTCCTTCTGATGTAACCACTGCTCTGGTTTTTAAGATGCTTCAGAAACTAAACTCAGCAAAAACTGCAGCCCAAAGATGTGGCAGAAGTTGAATAGAGCTAGTTAAGTTTTATGTTATGTATATCCTTTAATTTAGTTTAACATAGCCTTTTTATGCCAATACATGTGTCATGCATAGATGAAATGCTACACTGTCTTACAGCTTAGCAGTATTGGTCTCAGTCTCAGATAGACAGTTAGAACTCAGCCTCTCTTAAGACTTGTCTTCTTTGCCAAAACATGCTTAGTCACTACCTCAGTACTCCATGGTTTTGTTGCTGTGCCTATGTAAATTTACTTGAGAACATATTTACTGTCCTAGGCAAAAAGCCAAATACCTATTAATCTATTTCTGAAAAAAAAAAGTCACATAGTGCCAGCATTCCTAAAGAAAAAATGTTTTAAATCAAATAACACTGAAATGCATAAAACGGAACATGATGAGAAAGCACTGGGATTCCACTAAGATGCTTCTCAACCATCAAAATCTTTCTAAAATATGATACTCTTCCAAAGTGCCTTATGCTTCAGTTTCAGAAACCAATTCAACTGAGACCCAGATTTAAGGATGGTCCAAAGATTGTGCCACTAGCCACATATAAAGTTAAATAAAATTAAAAATTCTGTTTTTCAATTGCACTAGCCAAATTTCCAGTACTTAATACCCATGTGTGGCTAAGAGCTACCATATTGGACAGTGCAGATATAGCTCATTGTATCTTCACAGAGAGTTCCACCGGACAGTGCCAGCCCAGACCATGGAAAGCCCCTGTGATTTTCTCCATTTTCAAAACTGTTACTGGTCCAAGGGAAGCATAAGGAAATATAAACTTATGATGTAGCCTCAGAACCACCTTGGACTTCAAACTGACCCCAAACTGGAGCTCTAAGCTTTCCCAGTCTAGGCCCGACTCAATACAGACCCACATCAACAATCAGAGTTTAGGAGGAGGATGAAGCAACACTTACCTCAAATGACAAAATAATGCCTATGAGGGTCCTTTTGAAACTATGAAGTGCTATGCAAAAATAAAATATTCTTTCTATTTCCCTAAGCAACTGCCTTTACTTTGTTGTGGGGATTTCCCTAGATTATTATATTCATTATTGGACTCTGGAACTTGACATAAATGCAGAAAATTTGCAGGCAGTTTAGAGGAGACACACAAAGATGATGAAAGGTTTGAGTAATAAAATATTATGGCTAAAGGAACAGAAGTCATTCATCCTGGAAGAAAATTTTATAATTATCTTCAAGCATGCATATTATATGGAGAATTGTGTCCGTCTACTTTAAAAGATACTGCAGAGAGAATAGAAGAATACATTAAAGTAAATCTCCTGACAGTGGTGGCTGTGCTGAAACAGGCTATTAAGGAAGTTTAAGAAATCTTCTCTGGAAGTATTTGAAAGCAGAAAAGTTTATATGTAAAATATTTTTCAGTCACTGTCTCCTAAGGAAAGTAGTAGGATATAGTCAATTATGCAGATATTGCTGTATTTTGTAACATGTGCAAATCTGGTACCAGCTGGCTGGCCCAGGGATTGGTTCTGGCTCATATCAAGCCCCCTATAGACAGATGAGTGGCTACTATCAGAGCCCCACTCAACAAAGGCACTTTGTCCTCAGAGTTACCACAGCGGATAAGGTCGTGGCTTCCCCAGAATCCACTTCTTTTCTTACAAAACCTCACATTATTTTTCCTTAGGTACCACGATTACCCCATAACCCAGGTCTGGTTAATCAAAGCATCCATTCCCCTTGGCCACAGTGATTGGTTCAGAAATAACAGGTAACCCAAGTCAATCCAATAAGTTTCAATTCCAGGACTTTTTTCGTTCAAACTGTTGAGAACTGAGAATCTCTCTTTGTGACATATTTGGAAGTGTGAGATTTTAAGCCTGGTTCTAGTGATCTGGGGTGGGTTGCCTTTGCATGGAGAGTACATCAATTCTGAACAGTTGCTCCAGAACAGAAGCAATTCTGGATCTCCTTGATCCAGCAGTTGTATCTCCTGCCAGGGAGCGAGCAGCTAGAGATAGCAAGCAACATAGTAAGCTACAGAGCTAGGGAAGGGGAACGAAGCCCAAGACAGGGACCACTTTCAATGGTCGTCAGCACCATCACAATTCTTTGGGACAAATGACCTCTCATCTCCTAAACAGTTTCTTCTGTCCCTTAATTCAGTTATCACTGCTCCGTGCTTTCCCTCTGCTAAATATTTACTGAAATCTCTCAGCCACTCTGCTCTCCTATTTGTCCTTCCAGTATTTTGTTTTTCCCTTGCCAACATTTTAGTGTGTTCTTAGGAAGGAGATAAATGTGTATGGTCAATCCATCCTTTTTTAACTATTTTTATGGTAGGAACAA